GTTGACCAGAGTTGGAAGGTTGTCTTATATTTGCTGTGTTAGGCACCTCATCATTTCAAATTTCCCTCCCAGAAGTTTTCAAAAATGCATCTAAAGCGAGAAAAAGAAAAGAACTATGCTCAGATCTTTTTAGTGAATTTACCATCACTTTCAACCCTACTTTAAGGTAAAATCGTATGCTGGACCTGTTTAACCTACTCGGATGGGGTGACTTTTGGAATGGGGAGGACTTGCCCTCAAGTGCATCATCGCGTCTAGTTCACATTGTGAATATTTCACAGGTACGAGAGCTATTTTTGGTGTATTGTTAATACTACTTTTTACTCAAATCAGTCCAACTATATCTGTTTATTGTGTGTCGCTCGTGGTTGATGGAACAGGCATCGTAATGCTTCGACATTCATCATCTTCAGCGGCCCGAGTGTGGCTCAATGTTCACATGCGCACTGATCCATCAAGAGCCTTGTGTTCTTTGGCGGTTCCGAATTCCGTGAGAAGCGGCACAGAAAAACATAAATAGGGTGAAAAGTGATGGTGAATTCACTAAAAAGATCTGAGCATAGTTCTTTTCTTTTTCTCGCTTTAGATGCATTTTTGAAAACTTCTGGGAGGGAAATTTGAAATGATGAGGTGCCTAACACAGCAAATATAAGACAACCTTCCAACTCTGGTCAACTGCAATACATTTTCCAGTTGATTGCAAAACAACCGGATCTTGGAAGTCTGTGTTATAAAGTTACATTAATCTGGGGACACTGTTGCTGACTTCCGATCCCTGGTGAAATGGCATAAAAGTTATTGGAGCGTAGTAATCTGCAAGTCTACTCACCTGAAGCAACAATCCCAGCAGAAGTCGTGTCGAAGAATCTGTTCAGTGGGTGGGATAGAGTAGCTCACGAGTATCACAGATGTGCCGTTGTCGCGGCTAAAAGTGCGCGACAATGGCGCTAGGGCTTTACAAAGTGAACTTATGGCGACTATCTTAGCTTATGGACGAGATTGCTCGCGTACACCTCATGAGACGAATCATGGTTTACGGCATACTTCAAATACGCGCGTGTCAGTTGAGCCTGGAGCAGTTAAATCCTTGCAACTCGTCTGGCCCCGCCCCTTCATTTTTCAGTGGGAATTTTAGTTTTGGGCTTCATCGACGCATTTCTCTGCTTCTTTCATTTTTCGTCGGTTCGGCATAAAACACACTAACTTCTAACCTGAAGAGAGTGATGGAGTGATTACGGTGGCTGCTCTTTGGTGCGGTCTATGATGAGGAAAGGTTTAGAATCGATGAAAGGCTTGAGAGGCGGTCCAATCACAGCCCCGTCGCTGGGAGATCCAATCCAGTGATAACGTTGTGTGACGTCATCAAAACTGCACCGCCCTCCAGCCATCGTGATCACTGCCAGTCATGAAAAATACACAATAGTACCGAATTAAACTAACAAAAGGATCCAGGTGGTGCCGAGACATTAAATGGCTGAAGCTAGAGCAACGTTTCCAATTATTATTTCGAGCAGACGACAAACCTCACTGTGGAAGTCCTAGAACCCTTCTACAGTAGTCAGCGGTGCTGTTATGCATCCATCGATTGCCAAAAATTTGTCATGGTGTGATAATTTCATATAATATTCCTTCGAAATTTGTTTTTGTACCAAGTCATCAATTTTTGTTTACAGAGTCAACCACCATGGCTGGCTCGACCGCTATACGGCCTAGCCGCTCCGGCCATCATCCTCGTCACGCTGGTCACTAATTCATTCGTGATTGTAGTGCTATCTAATAAGAATCTTCGTACACCCACAAATTACATTCTCTTATCCATGGCCATTACTGAGCTTATGACTGGTAACATTTCAACTTCTGCTTTTCAAAGAGTACTTAGGAAAGTACGTTTTCTTATTGCAGGTCTCTCGTCTTGTCCCTGGTTTCTGTACTATTACACGTTTGGAGGCCTATATGTCGATCAAGAGTACGGCCTGCCGGATTTTTGGTGCAAAACTCATCCCTATTTCGCCGTTCACCTTCCTACAATGTGAGCTTGAATTGTGACAGTTTAAAAAATTACTGCTCAACACAGAGGGATTAGTCTTTTCTAGTTTTACCCCATCTAACCCAAGGGTACTTGTCGAAGGGAAGTCGGACTAATACTTCTTCGTTTGCCCTTCAGGATTCTTGATTCCTATGTTTTTCACCACTCTCTCTTTCTTTAGTTGAAGCAAGTAGACGACACAGAAAAGTATTACCTGTACATAGTGATATCAACTTTTTCCAGTGCCAATTACAGGCACGGGTTGCGATTAGATCCTTGTGAGAATCCTTTCCTCGAACGAGGTAGTTGACCTCTCATTACGGGAGTGCTAATACCGCCGTACCTTGAAACTACGCGAAAATGCGACTAATGCCTTCGCTAGACCGCTGCAACCGCTGTACCTTTATAAATCTCGGCATACGTGGCGTTTGCACCTTTCCGTGTACGACGTGTTTTTGAACGTCTTCCCTCTCATTGCAGCGCTATGTCTTTCCGCAGTACCACGGTTAGTCTCACAAAGAAAGTTTCAGTGTTCCATGGTGCTTTGTGCTGTTAATTCTCAACAAAATACACACTCACTCGATCCCGACCCCTGTCTAGTGGCCCACCGGTAGCTCATTGTTGTCCTTTCAAGTGCTGCAAAACAGCGCAGTTTAGTGGACAGGCATTGATTGATTGGCACGGCGCACATGAGCGTCAACTTTTCATGAGGATCAGACTCCTTTTATACAACTTATTTGTTTCATCTTTCGAAACTGTCTGTGCACATTATCTCATCCGGAAATCAGTGCACCGTTCATTAGTAGTGTGATGATTGTAATAACGATTCCGAACTAAAACATACAAAAAGGTGCTGATTTTTGGCTTTTTGAATTTTTATTTTTAAAGGCTATGGTACGTATATCATGAGAAGCTGAGTTGGGATGAAACGGTGCGTAACTGGTAGCGCACTTGCCCGGAAAGCGAGAGGTGCGGGTTCTAGTCCCGCCTGGGGCGAAAGTTTTGTTCACAACCCAGCATTCTTGTGAAAAAGGTGCTGAATTACACGCACAACGGCCTATCGTCAATGTGTTAATCTTGTAAGACGATCGTGATTGGCTGGCGCAGACGGCCAATCATTGATGAGCGTATTACTTTTCCTTCTGTGAGTTCCTGTGCAAAGAACCGTGATTCGCAAAAGGGTTGCCGCAGCACTTGAGCCATTTGTGATCCGTGTTGTCAAACTGATGCTGCGAGGGATGCGAGACAAGAGTCCCCCTGAGGTCGCCGCGCAAGCGAAAGTAGGTCACCGCACGCGGCGGCTATCTACCATATCCAGCTTGAAACGTATCAAGTTGCTAGGACTAAGCTGAAACAAATGCAGGAATGGGGCCTACACAGAGGGAACAGGAAAGCGTTGTATCGATCGTCTGGAGAGGGGTCCTGAACGGCAAATTGCAGAAACACCGGCGACGTCGCGCGCGGTGACCTAGTTTGGCGCGGCGGTCGCGGGACTCTTCACCGAGCTTCCTGCTGCAAAGGGTTGCCTAGAACTGAGCTATTGTGATCCCGTTTACCAACGGTGCTGCGAGCAAAATTCATGATAATGTGCACAGTCGCAGAAATCTCGACCATGGCTCTGTGCTGTGTGAAAATGGTGTCCAGAGTGAGTGTACCCCTCGGAGAGCACAGACGGCTCGCGCGTGGTGAGAGTGAATATCCACGCGAGAGAGCGTGAGAACAGGCGAAAGTCCTCAGCGAGTCGTCGACAACTCCTCGAGCAGTTTTCACCCTTTTCGAGGATTGCTTGCTTTTAGGTTTTCTTCCCAAATAGGATTAACTCGAGTGGCCTGGGATGAGCTGTATTTGACCTGAGACCTGACTACCGGACCATGAGAGCCGTATCTGCGCCGCTTGTCACTGAACCACCTTTGCCCGTGCCACAATATGTTATTTAATTTTTATGTAAACACGCTCTTTGTACTGTATGTACTTTCTTCGTGCAGCCACTTTTGAATTTCACTGCGAAGAGACACTCGAATGAAACCTTCCAAAATCCGGGAACTTTCCAGATTTCATACAGCTGCGATATGGTTGACAGTATACTTGGCTATTCAGCGATATATTTACGTATGTTTACCTTCGTTAGTTGTAAGGTATGTGAATTTTGTGTCGGTGTACCACTTGTATGTACTTAGACTTTTCCGAGTATTTATTAGTTAACTATTTTCTGAATATATATGTTCGGTATTTTATTGAGTTTCGTCAATTTTTACATTCTTAGGTTCTGTACCCCACGGAAAACGAGGCATATTATAATTTATATTTGCATATGCGCTTCTCTCAGGTGAGTGGTTTATGCCGAAAACCTCATGTGTCACGAGTATCAGTGAAGGATGTTTTCAGTGAGCTCCCTGTTATGTGTACCGAATATAGTGTGAGCGTAATGACGTCGAACACGACAAGAAGCTGCTTTCACAAGGATGTGGATATTATCGATTCGGTTAGTGACCTGTAGATCTTATGGGAGCATAAGAGCCACCAAAGCAGTAACACGATGGCTGGAGGGTGTTACGGTCCTGTCCAACA